TCAAGCCCCTTTTCTCCCATCCCACCCTATCCTATCTTATCCCATCCTATCCTGTCTCTCCTGAGTATTAAGCCCATGCTGAGTTCCACTAGCACCAGAAATACAATCAGATAATGCCAGACCAATCAGACAGGCAGAAGCTAGCTCCCTGCAGGATTGCTTGCACAGAGCGACTACATTTTGCAGATGTCATGTGTGAGGTCCACAAAAGGTTTCCGTGCATGGCTCATTCAGGAAACACAACATAAGGTCAGAAAATATATGTCACAATCTCTTGTTTATATCATGCCGTCCTCATTTTGATACATCTTTTTGTTTTCCTTTTACTATAAATGACGGTAGTTGGGAATTAGATGCTAATTTCCGTCATGAGAAATGTGTGTTGTTACATTTTACTTTATACTTTTCTTGTCTTTTTTTGTTGTGCTATGAAAACAGATATTTTGCCTTTTAGGGAAAATAAATGACACATTTACATACTTTGCTGTTGTGTGGGATGCTTGTAACCACTAAAAGATTAATATCTGTAAGCTCTACTCTGCTGTTAAAGTAACACAATATAACAGAAGCCACTAAAAAGCGCATGACTGACTATGCTTAAGAAACACAGATATCCACAGAGAGTCGGTAGATTTGGAAAGATCATCATTTATTAACAAGTTTCATGCTAACTACTGGAGTTGTTAGCAACCCAAGGAGGACCTGTTCTGCTCATTTCCAACTTCATGTAGTTATTCTTGAACTCGTCTGTGGTAGCAGAATAGCTTTGCATAATTCACCGTTCAAAGTAGCAGATGCTGGGCCATCTTTGCACTCTGCACCATGACAGTGAATATCAATGAATGAAAGCTTTATTTGTCATAAGCAGGTTGCCCTGCAGTGAAATGGGAACCCTCCCCCCCCCCGACCTTACACACATAACACAGACATCACATGGGGTTACAAGTCGGAGATCGGTAGTGTGAGATTATAATATTATTTTTATGCCATGTTAGACCCCTAATTAAAGATTGTGAATTATTATGTAGTTTTAGTTTGCATTATTCTCCTGAATTAGAAGAAGGTGATAATTATTGCATTTGTTAAACTGATTTGCATTACACTGTGAATGAAGGATATTGTTTTATGATGCATTATACTGCTGAGTTATAAGAAATACTGTTCGCAGAAAGTCATCGCCTTATTTGTCTGATTGGAATAGAACAGAACATACTGGAGTTTTCTGCTCCATCTCGGCAGGAGCAGATAAACAGGGAGCCAAGGTCGTAGCTTAGGCGCTGTGTGAGAGAAAGCATGTGAATGTTTAGGCTTTTATGATAAGGTGGGGGCCACTAGAGGCTATAAGAGTTTGATCAATGCTCCACCATTTTGAGATCTGATGCTGTCTGCGTATGGTGTCCATCTCCCACGCGTGTGATCATTAAAATCATTGTTTGACTCAACCCGGCCGGACCAGTGTTGTTATTGTGGTTTTTCCTCTTGTATCCATCCCCAATATTTGAATCCGTAACAGTAGCGTTGCAGAAAAACACTGAAATGTACATATGTCTGTGAAGGTTCTCAGTCATCCAGGTCAGCTTCTTCAGTTCAGAACTGAAGCTTCTTCAGTTCTGAACTGAAGAAGCTTCTCGGATGAGAGGTGAAACATCTTCAAGCAACTTAAAGAAGTCCAGACGCTTTTCTTTGCAAGCTCCTTTGACTGAAATGTACACAACAACGGGAAGGTACAAGAGGAAAAAAAGAGACCTCCACTCATGCTGTGCTTCCATGGTAGGACAGCACGAGAACAGGAAACAAAAAAACTCCTCTGCACAAAAAAAGCACATGAATGTTCACAGCACAACATTGTGGAAGACATGACAAGCCACAGGGATGGGTAGGGGACGAGGAGTAACCCCAGGCAACACAGCAGCCATCCTGCAGATTATGCTATACATATTGTTATTGTCTGTGCCATGTTGTCATTGTCACTATTGTCTATTGTCTGTTCTGTTATGAACACTGGGACCAAAATAATAGCACGTTTCCTTATATGTGTGCACATACTTGGCCAATAGAGATAATTCTGATTGTCAGTCCACCTTCTATAGCCAGGTAGCTGGTTTAGCTCCCCTCCCTCAGATCTGGATTCTTCTTGGAAGCAGCAAATCTGAAAGACGGATCATGGCTGTTTGCCTGACAGGACCATATTAAGGATATCCATATCTGTCATTTTGACATCTCTTTGGTAGCTGAAGCCTGAGTTTTTGGTTTAGAGGCATTACCTCTACATGCACCGTGCTTAATTTGAGCATTCTTCACTATAACGATATCTGTGCAATATATGTTCCATTGTAAAGGGCTATTTTATTCTATGTGCATGAGAGAACGTGATGGAAAGAATGAAAAATCCTCTCTAACCTTCACTAAGCACCCATTAACTGAACGCAGGACACGTGTGTGAGGGAAGCAGTCTTCTGAATGTTGGGTCCAATCGTCACTCTTACCTGAACTGAACCGAGAACCTCCTGCATCTCCATCAAAGGGACATGTTCAATCAGCATGGGCTGCAAACTTGAGAAATAAACTCACTTCTTCTTCTTCTTCTTTTTTTTTTTTTTTTAAATTTTTTAAATTTTTATTTTTTTTTAGAAAAAGTCACTTCAGCTGGAATTTACTATATGCTTAAAAGCAAATGTTTTTAACCCATAACCCCCCTCCCCCACAAAAAATAAATAAAAAATAAACAAGTAAATAAATAACTATTTTAACCAGCATGGTGGTGTCAGCTTGCTTCACATATTGAAGTTACAAGAGTATGAAGAATGCTTCATTGCTTACATGGATGATGCAGTGGTGCTATGTGTTATGGAAAATTCATGTAAATCACTGATTCCCATTATGTAGACCGTGGCCCTCTGGTGGACCAAACGTATACTGCAAGTGTACAGTGTACAGAGGTATGTACAGTTTTCTTGATCTATCTATCAGATAGATAGATAGATAGATAGATAGATAGATAGATAGATAGATAGATAGATAGATAGATAGATAGATAGATAGATAGATACTTCAGTTTCTCTTGTATTTGGATTCAACCGAACATTTATGGTCAGATGGGCCTCTGTGGGATTTTCTGCTTTTGAAGTGGGCTGCAGCACTTTGACTTTGAGAATGGCTGATGGAAATTATTCCAGTCTTATTCAGTGACATTAGCTCCCTATGAAAAAAATCACTATGGAATTAAGTCTTAAATCACTTACAAATAGTGACTCCTTGCTGGAACATGTTACTTTCCATGTTTTTTACACTTGTTGTATAAAATCAGGCCCAGGACTCTTGATGTCCATTGTTGGATTTGTTTACTTTTCATAGCAGGCTGTGGTGTGCTGATTAGGAGAAGCATTCATATAGCTGAATCAGTAACTTTGGAGAGCACCTCGGTGTATGCTTTTCTTTTTTTCTCTTTGAAAGGCCTCTTACATTTTCAGTTTCATTCCAAAATTTCCAGAGTAAGCTTTTCATGACTCTTCAGCACTTGCAGTTCATCAGCTCTTCATGTATGGTTACAGTATCTCTTCTGCATTCTCAGTGACTATCCTCCATAGAGGAAATCAAACCTCTTGTCAGGCTCTATTTGCACTTGAAAGCACTTGAGGTCATATCCTCAAAATGCTTTAAACCACTTATAAGGTGGCAGAAGACTTTTATATTTTTATAATGAACATCTTGAAAACTGACATTATCTTTAGTTAGCTTGGCTCTTAGATTTAAGCCTCTTTCACAGAGGCCATGGAAGTAACCATTAGTTGATATAAGTCATGTCACAAATATATGAACTTTTTTTTTTTTACACATGTAATGCAGCCCTGAACATTTGTAGTATTATCACCGTCGTTAGGTCCCTGTTGTCCTTCTTTCACACCTCAGTAGCTACAGTATGGGTTGTACTTTAAACAACACTTTTGAGAAAGTTGTAGAAGCTTTTTTTCGTCCTCAAAAACACTTTTGCGAGTAATTTATTTTAATTCTTTTTTTTTTTTTGCTTGAGAATAAAACAGCAGAGATTCTGTTTCTCTTAAAGCCTGTTTTTCAACGAGACCACACAAGGACACAATATGTCTTCATACCCAAAGTGGCTCAAACTAGGTGTTATTTACCTTACTTCTGAGGGGTGTACTATCTATGGAGCAAGCTTGACCTAGCCTTCATCAACAAATGTTATCTAGAGATGATGAGTTTAAACTTTATCTGTTAACTTAGGCTGTCTGCGTCAGGCTCGCTGTGACATGTGACATTTAACTCTCCATTTGTGCAAACACGGACCTGATTCAGGCAACTGGAGCAAGTCATTTACAGTTTTAGAGATTATAAGAAAAATATAACAGTCAAGGCAAGAGTGCAAACCTACCATAGACGGTATAAAATGGGTGTCAAACATCAGAGGCCAGAATTAACCTGGAAAAGACGACAGTTGAGCGCCCTAAATGTATATTTATAACAAAGTATACTATATACTATAGAGTCTTCTGTATTTTACAATGTGTCTACAATAAAATTAATAAATTAATAAAATAAATGTATTGTATAATTACAATACAATCATTGCAACAAGCTACCAGAACGTTTCCAGACATTTTTACATGTGTATTTCCTACAATTTCCTACAAAAAAGGCCAAAGAGTCGTGCTGACTGATTTCTTTCATTTACTGCAGCAGCATTTCTTTTTGAAATGGTCCACGTAAGTCCTCAGGTTGAGTGTTTTTACCTTCACCATCTTGAAACGGAACATGACAAGCAGGAGGCATGCCTGACTGTGAAACCTCATGCTCATAGGCCAATTATTAATCCTCAGCTCTGGCTTTTAGAATAACTCTAATTTAGAAAATTGACTATGTTTTTTTTGTTTGTTTCTTTTTGTTAAATATGATCTGAAATTAGTGACTGGAGCCATAAACTCATCTGTAAAGTATTTATTGAGGTCAAATCATTTTCTTACAGACTTCTAGAGTTTGCCCCCTACTGGCAGTTAAACAGAACGCAAGTTTAAGGCATTTTCCTTCTGTCTAACCTTTTTAGGCCTGGAATCTAAGTCCATCTTTGATAATGTCCACATGCTACACACAATTCTTATTCTTATAAGTGAATGTATTTATTTCACCACTCTATTTTAGCAAACCAGCTGAACTGTGCTGGTCCTAAACGCCAAACTTGATATTACAAAGCAAGTTTTATGTTAGCTGGTTTGTCAAATGCAAAAACTCCAGTCAGACATAACGGGTATCACAATGGTGCTCATCAACTTTTTGCTGTTAACCCAGGCTTTGTGCTTCAGGCTCTGTGCATGCTCATATAGAAGAGGTGCTTGACACATCATTTGACAAAATGGCCACAGTGAAGGCCACACACACTCATTTGCGAACACACAAACTCGTGCGTAGAACTATTTTTTAACCACTAATCAGCCACAGCAGCTGCAGGATTTATCCAACAAAAACAACAATACAGTGCTCTTTTAATACGATATTTACTGTCAATATTTTGACAGGGAGCGTACAATGGTCCGGTGGTATCACATTGTACAGTAATCAGATGATTGGCAGCCTGTTTCCAAGCTGTGCAGCAAACAAACTCTTTCCAGAGGCAGCAGGTTATGTACAGCCAGACTAAACTAAATCTAAGCCCGTGTGATTCACCGCTGCAACAATAGAACATTTTTGTACATTTCCTACTGCCATAAAAAAACACTTTTCAAATATACACAAAGAGAATTTCATCAGGCCAAAGAGATGACATCACCTGTTACATCCTATCATATTGCTTAGGTACTGTTCACATCTTATTAGTTTGTGTGATTGGATACCAAAAGACAGTGTAATGAAAAATTAACTTTCCCAAAACATATTCTAAATCATTTAAGGAGGAGTGTTTACAAATGACAGAATTTACCCTTGATGTTCATCCAAACAAATGTCAACTTTTCAAGGCGTGATATCTTTTTTTTTTTTTTTTTTTTGAATTACAGGCGTTTTGTGCACCATCAAATCCAAAACAAAAATTGACTTCAAAAGCAGCTTAATACATTATTTAGATCATGTTTGGCTTTTAGATCCTGTCAGTCTCCATACCAACAGCTCTGTATGTCCTTTCACTCCTCCTTCGTCTGACAGGCAGCCCTGTCTTCTGAGGTGCAAAATCAATCATTCAAAGAGGTGTCAGCCATGTTTTTTTTTGTCTTCTTCTTCTTCATCTTACTTTCATTGCTGTTCAGCCGGCTCCAGGAGATCTTGGTAGATTTCTGATTTCAGAAATCGTGGGTAACAGTCGTTTTCCATCAGGCCATATATCAGTTTCTGCGCCCTGTCGAAGCAATTTGGCCCCGGCTGAGAGATATTTTTACTGATTTCTTCTCTGGTCACACAGTCAATGTTTATCTAGGTTCAGAAAACAGCAGCTTTTATTTCACCCTTTCTTTCTGAATATATTTTTACATCATGTGTTTAACTGTAAAAGATAAACTGTTTAGTACTGAATAACAGAGAGTGAAAGATTTCCTTTTATTTGAATGTTTTTTTAGTAAAAGTGAGTCAAATCACCTCCAACCGGGGGTGATTTGTAGAGACACAGGTCTGACTTTGTTTACTCCTCAATTCACAAAAGCCATACCTGTCTAGGTGCACCAACTTGGACAAACTCAGTGTATATCCGTTTGGCAGCAATGGTCATTTCTGTCACTCTGGTTATTTTCTTGTACTTTTTGCAGGCCAGCCAGAAAAGAAGGTTCTCGTCACTGTACTCTGTCCTCAAGAAGTCCTCAAACACCAGCTGGCCAGCTGTGCAAAAACAACAAAAGCACTTTGAAATACAGACAGTTTCATTTCAAACCCTGAAGAAGTAAAGACTTGAATTTTTAAGGACCTGTGTGTTCAACTGCTACAGTTTTATAACTTCACAGGTTGGATTTTTTTTTCCTCATCTGTATTACACCACAAAACTCAATCAGTCGCTTCCAGAGCTCAGGTAGCTGACATTTGTGATGCTAACAACTGCATATATAAAACAGTATATCTGGTAACACCCTAAACATACAGTAAAGGCACTTTAGCCTATTATTTGTGAATCATAACATGTCATAGGCCGTTACATGATTATATTTTCTTTTAAAAGTGTCTTATAGTGTTATATAAATTATTCCAAATTGTCTAAATTTGCTAGTGGTTTTGTGTCCATCAAAAAGTCTAGATTTTCAATTCCATAAATTATTAAAAAAAAACAAACCCTTATATTCCTCAAAAGCATGTTTGCTGGAATTATTATTAACTATGTAAGCTGTGGAAAAATTATGCTTAAATCATTGGTTTCACTTGTGCTTACTGATAGTTGTTACTTTGATGTCTTGGAAAAAAAGATTATTGATTAGACAGCTGTTTAAAAAGAAATATATTTGAACCATGGTTTGATTATTGCTGTGTGCTTTCACATTTATGCTATCAAGTGAAGTGTTTTTTCTAAAGGTTCAAAATTGTTCCAAAACAGCGGTGGGGTAGTGGAGGAGGGAGCCACGTAAACTTTCTTGCCTGAGAGTTTTACAAATATCATTTGATTGATAAATACATTGTTCACTACAAATACAGTATGTCACTGTTATCATGGTTTGGGTTCAAATACAGCTGCTGCCAGATGCTGTTTTCTTAGTTACCATGGTGACACAAATTTGAAATGCATCACTACAAATACATGTTGTTCAGAGACAGGAAAAGCGTAATAATTTATGCCCACAAAGACCACAAAATATTTATTTTTTAAAGTTTTTATATGACTGTTTCACAAAATGGCATGAGACCTGACAGAGCCAAAATAGGATCATTTTTAAACCATAACCACATATGGCAAGGTACAAGATAGAAAAAAAATCAGCTTGTTGAATAGTTAAATTAAAAATGATCTTGTTGAACATTACATTACTTTTGGCAGCCTTCCTAATCATGCTGCATCTGTAAGCTACTTTGCAACCCACCTAAACCTCAGCTCATCTATTTCACGCTATTAACTTTATTTTTGACTTCATCAGTGTCATGTCATTGATGACAATTGCTCTCTGTACTGAGTAGGGATGGGTACCGGTTCTGACATAAACGGTAGTAACCAGACCGAAAAGCAGCGCACATTTCGGTGCTTTATTTCGGTGCTTTTTTTTTTCCTGAGCTGTGATACACTTTAGATTCTAGCCAATCATTTTACGTTTCCGAGGATAGTAGGTGGGTCCAGGTATGTACGTTCTTTTATGCAGAGCTACAGATTAAAAATGCCCAAGGCGAAGCGGTCAAAAGTCTGGTTGTACTTCACAGCAAAAGATGCAAACTCAGCAGCCTGCAACAAGTGCTTTAAGCTGATACTGTGATACTGTCAAAGGAGGTAACACCTCAAATCCGATGAAACACCTGGCGATGCATAGCGTTTTTTTTAAAAGCCGAGAAATGTGCCGTATTTGATAGCTTGCTGCGAGACCTCACACCGAGCACATCTACTGCGGGTGTGGTGCCTATTGTCGGAACCAGAATTTGCAACATCCCCAAAAACCCGAAGAGTAGAGTCCTGGCCCCTAGCCCTGTCAGGGTAGCAGAAATGATGACGGATGATGATGGCAGCAGCAGCAGCTTCTCTGCATGAGTAGCTTAATGTTGTTCGTGTGTAATTTACGTTGAGTACGCTAACCACGTTATTAAATTAACGCATGTAAGGTGAACTAGCAAACACAGCTGAACATGAGAGGTTTTTGGACCAATTTTGTGTTCTCCATTCTTTAAGCACCGGTTTGAGCACCGTTTAAGCACCGGCACCGTTTCAAAAGTAGCGGTTTGGCACCGGTATCGGATAAAACCTAAACGATACCCATCCCTAGTATTGAGGGAAGCTACTACTGCTCTCCCGACTGGGGAGGACTCAGAGCAGAACCAAATCGCCAATTATACAAGTCAATGAGTTCTTTTAGACTGAAGGTCTGAAACTTATGCTCTACCATTCCTGGGACTCTATCCACCTCTTTAGATGATCATTTCAGAGTGAATTAGCTTATTAGATGGCTATTTTACATCCATGCGCATCGTCATGATTCATCGCAGTCATTGCGGCTGATTTCAGTGCAAATAAATGAAAGATCCAAGATGGTAGCATGGACGTAAACTTGAAAATAACTTTTTACACTGATTTGAAGGATTCACATATCTAATCTACAGGAAACAGCAGCTCATTTGGACTTTTCTGCTATTTCAATTTCACTGTCTGTCACCAGAAACTTCTACCCTGTGCTCTTCAAAAGAGGCCTCTTTTGTTCACTGTAAACTGCTGTAAGCTCTTGAATCAGGAACAAGTTTTTCTGACGACAGGGACAAAATATTGGGTGAAAGCAAATTTAAACGAATCATTCACTTTCAAATTTATAAAGTATTTTAGGTAAATTTCATGAGAGCAACAAGCCTCCTCTGAAGGTTAAGCAATTCTGTATCTTTCTCTCACATTCTCCTTTCCTCCTAACAGTGCTCGTAAGCTCAAAGAAGGCAGTGAACAAAGAGACGATGCAGAAAACTGCCAGGCATTGTGGTGCATGTCTGGAGGCCCTTTTAACTTCAAAACCTTCAAAAACCGAACCCCGCGTGCTCTGCTTCTGCATCATATAATTGCACACACCAATATTTCTTGTTATCTGCTCCCCACACTCCTTACCTTTGTTATGGGCGTATTCATGGAGCTCTGATGCCAACGCAGGTGTTAAATACTCAGCTCGTCTTAGGGGAGCACAAACAAGCAGCTAACTGCGAGCACCAGTGTTATTTACAGAAATCGCTTTACATAAATCACAGCTGGCGCTCTGACAGTAATTGACAGGAAACAAAACACATCCAGAGGCCGCTTGTTCCCGTCTACAAATCACTCCATATCTGAACTTTCAATCACAACAGAGCTGAGTTAAATTCGCATGAGACGTAAAGGTATATGAATGGCATTAGATTTTTTTTCTTTTCCTTTTTTTTCTGCCCCTGTTTACCTGTTTATCAAACGTGTCATTGCAGTCCTTCAAAGGGAAATGGAGCAAATGGAATGCGAGATGAAATTTATACTCTGGAGGGCAGTCAATCTTGATGCCGAAGACAACAGGCTAAAATATTACAGATGGGCTGAGTTCATTTCAGTGGAGTGATGAGAGACGAAAGGCAGCGTAAAGAGTGAGAAAAAGAAAGAACTTATCTGCCACCTCTGTCATTTTCAAAAAAAGGGCAGGAGTGTGGTCAGGTGATAGCCGCGAGCGGGTGCCGGCTTTATAAATGAATAAGAGTTGGTTGAAATCATCCTATCTACACCGGCAGCTCAGATTACGCTTCTTATCTCGGCCAGTGTCGTCCTCCTTAAATATATCTTCCAAATGGGTTTGATGAACTTGAGAGGAGAATATATCCTCGATCCTCCTAAAGAAGTCCCGAGGGCAATTCACCAAGATTTGCAGGGCCGAGCGGTGCAGAATTGAGAAGGTAGAAAAGAAAAAAGACAGAGAGAGAGGATGAGGAATTGAGAGAGAGCAGCCTTTGACAGGACAATGAGAGGAGTAAGTGGCCTTACTTTTACACTCCAGAAGACGGTCAAATGACTCCCCCCACGCCATCAATGACATCATTAACAGGAGCTCTGCAGAGCAAAATTGAAAAAACTTCATGAAACGTACATCTTGTCAAACAGACAGTGTACATTCTGTACAAAGGACCAGGGCACATTCACGTCAGAGATAAGCTGATAAAAAGTTAAATCCCAAATTGTACCTACTTATTACATTAGATTAACTAATTAACGTTTTATCTCTTAAACGTCACTTTTTAAATTAACTGATATAAATCATTCATATTGTCAGTTTAATAAAACTCCAAATGGGTACCTCATCTTGTCATATTTCCAAGTCTAGAGGATGAAATTAATAACAATGAGTAACATCTTAGCTGATATTGGCTCCTAATTGAATACCAGGTATCAGTACAGTGAATGACTTGATATCTGATGCCAAATATTAGATCAGTCAATGCTTCTCCTGGATGTGAGTTCATTCCTGCCCACAGCAGTGAAAGAAGTATTCAGATATTTTCCTTGCAATTTTTTGCTTTTACGTATCATCACAAAGTATGTCATAAATGCTGACTTCATAATGTAAAAATCATTGGTTTGATTGGTTGTCTATAAAAAAAGGAGTGCATGATTTCATCCCAGAAGGATGGGACCATCAGCTTAATCAAATGATACAGCCATGCGACAAATGAAGTGCATATTTACTGTTTCCAAAAGGAATTTTGAGGATAAGTGCTGCACCTGATTAAATGATCATCATCAAGTGTGAGCATTTGTATAAAAGCATAAGAACCTGAATGCAGTCTGGAGCAGTCAGATGTGTGTTAACACAATGCCAAAATCTTCCCTGGAGTGGATGGATGCCCCAGAAATTCCCCCAGAGAAATTCATGTTTAGAGGAACTGCAAAAAACCCAAGAGCTGCATCTCAGAGTCAACTGGCCTCAGTTAGCGTGTTAAATATTAAAGTTTATGACAGAGCAATTTGGAAAAAGCTGAACAAGAACAACAACAAGTATAGAAAGTCTATTCTCTCTAACAATAACTTGGCAGCAAAGGTTTGCAAAGCTCCATCTGAATAATCCGCAACCAAATTCTTTGGACAGAGGGACCAAATTGGAAAGGTTTGGTCATAAAGTACAACACCAAATCAAACACAGCATATCAGCACAAATACTTCATTGCAACTGCCGAGTACAGTGGTAGAAGGGTGATGATTTGGGGTTTTTTTATACTACAGGAGCTTGACACCTTACAGTCTTTGAGTTCATCCTGAACTCCTCTTTATACCAAAGTGTTCTAGAGTCAAATAGAAGCCATTGTGCTGACAGCTAAAGTTTGGCAAACGAAAAGAACAATGATCCCATTCAACAGCAGCAAAGCTTTCACAAAATGACTGAAAAACAAAACTACCATGGTACTGCAACGGCCCACTCAAAGTCCAGACGTCAACATGACTGAAACGCTGTGGCAGGATCTTAGAAGAACTGTGCATAAATGAATGCCAACAAACATCAATGAACTGAACCAACGCTGTAAATAAGAGTATGCCAAAATTCCTTTGCAACAACATGAGAGTCTAATAAATTAACTAAAAAAACAAACAAACAATTACTTCAAGTTATTGCTGCCAAATGTTTTTCTACAATGTACAAAAACATAGGGTGTATGTAGTTTTTCACAGAACTGCATAGAGTACTGTGGAAACATTTGAGAGATAGCCACCTATCATAATAACCACTTTTACGTTAATTGTCCCTGTGGTGTTAACACATTTCACCACAAAGGTAGCAAAGAACCCAGGATGAGCGTATGCTGACTCGTGCACTGCATCCAGAGCCTGAGCTTGCTTGTAGCCTCCATTGACCATGTTTCTATAATGGAAGTCTCTATGGGCTTGTTTTCACCTTCGATTGTGTTTCTGGTTTTGTTTCAAACTTAAACATTAAAAGACTGATCTTGTGTGTTCTGATTAGCACAGAGATTTTTGTCAATGTGTGGGATTATAGCCCAAGGTTTATATTTCTAACTGACAATGCATTTCAACTCATGTTACACAGTGAGGCAAATGTAATGTAACCAGTTGGGTAACAAATAACTCCATTGAGAAATAATACAACATGATGTATTAATTAAAAAAATAATATTGAGTAATGCTTCTCCTTCAGAAGATTCCTGGATAAGATGTAAAATGTCTTCAAAAAAATATCTATAGAAGTTCAGTTGCCTTTTTCTGACTAGCAACCCCAGCACTTCTTAAAGGAGGGTGAACAGAACAGTTCACTCAGAGGCAGGATAAAAGTCTGTACCTCAGTTTTAATTGAGTGTTTAGGTCAGTTGACAGAAAGAGCAGGAAAGAGTCAAAAGTCCAAAAATGCAAAAACTCCAAAGGAACCCCCCACTTTGCTGTAACTAAAATTGCAAAATTTAAGAGTCGTAAGCACACTGCCCACTAGAGGACAATGGGCTATCAGGCCACCCTCATAAAGTCTGTTGCTGATTGGTTGGTCAGGGACAACACACCAGTGATTTGCTGGAGGTTATGTTGTAGCTGTGGCAGTGCTCACCCTGTTCGTCCTTGCACAAAGGAGCAGATATTGGTCCTGCTGATGGATTAAGGACTTTCTATGGCCCTGTCCAGCTCTCCTAGATGAACTGCTTGTCTCTTGGAATCTCCTCCATGCTCTTGAGACTGTGCTGAGAGACACAGCAAACCTTCTAGCAATGGAACATATTGGTGTGCTATGCTGGAGATGTTGGATTACTCCAGATATTGCTTGATGCTGCCAGTATTGACCAGCCAAATACAAAACGACCCCAAAACAGTCAAAAAAGATGAGGAGGGGGACAGTGTCAGTGACCATTCTTTTTTGGGAGGTTGTCTCATTGCTGTGCCCTTAGTGCACCCGTTATTAATTTCATGAACACCAAAGCAGCTGAAACTGATTAACAATAACCTCGATCAATCAACCAGATTAATATCCCAGAAGTTTAACTGACTTGATACAATACTCATTAAAAAGTGCTGCTTTAAATTTTCAGAGCAGGGTATATTGACACATTGGATAGTTCACTGGTGAGGAAAAAGTGTGATAGTACACAAAGGGAGGAAGCAGAACTAGGAACAAAAGGACCGGGTTCATGCAGAAGCATTACTTTTATGAGAATACTTGTTTAGCCATTAGGTTACTCCCTACAAAACAGTTTTTAGGCTCTCCTAGATCCAAATTTGATGATGAAAAGCAGATAATATCATAATAGTCTTTTAAAATCTCAATATAAAATGATACAAATGCAGGAAAATTATCAATACTGCAGTTTGGAAACAACAGTAACTAAATATCTTACACATGAGCTGCTAACATTATGCAGATGGCAGTTAGACAGCTGTGGGGACTGGGGGTACTAGCATGGACTGAAAAGCCTGTAAGTTTAATTGTAACTCATCTACAGTGAGTTAGATTTATGTCAGAAATCTGTTTTTTATGGCAAACCAGCAGCATCCTCTTGCCATTAATACACTTGTTCAGAGATTCTAAATTAGATGAAACTTTAATGATTCTTGTGGGCAAACTGGGTCGTTGCAGCAGCAGGGAACCAGATGAGAATAAGTCAGAGCGGTAAATGTTATTCAAGGAATTAAAGCAAGTGAACACGCTCAAAAGTAGAGCAAATAAATAAAAAAAATCAGCGACAGACTCACAGGATCAAATACTTGGCAAGACCTAGTCACGCTATCTGACATTCGGATGACATAAGAGCTGCTTTACAGATAATGTCAATGACAGATATAAATATTGATTGCAAGCAGGCAGGTACAGTAGCTTCTGCTCGTAGGGAAACGTGTGCTATTTATATCTGTGACAGCTCCTCAGGATTCTGTTAGGTACTATTTTTTTAATGCAACCTCCTGTATATTCCCACAGGCTCTTCTAACTACAACATACATATTCATAACCCAGGGTGGGCTTTCAATTACTTGCTGAATTATATAAGGCTTAGAACTATTTAAAGTAAGTGATCTAAGGGAGCACTAATAGGAACAAACAGGAAAAATGGCCAAGATCTGACGGGAGGAATATGACGCACTGATGATAGCAAAGGTTTCACTTTTTATGCTCTTAAACTAGTCTGACAGTACAAAGTGGTAGAGCAAGGACTAAAGCGTCCAAGCTTTTAAGCGTAAAAGAAGACTTTATTCTACCTGTGTTAAAGAAATGTTCCAATAAATACTTGAAGATGAGCCTGCTTGAATGTTTTTGATACTGTTGTTACTGAGTTTCTCAGAAGTAAAGATGATATTAGAGCCACATATGCTCCCATCCAGATTTGATATCCTTTTAATGGAAGCTGTTGCATACAGTATTTTGGCAAGACAGTGCTAAACCCCATACTGGAGTTATTAAGAGGGCATGGCTTTGTTGTAAAAGTGTCCAGGTACTGAGCTGGCTGCAGTCCAGACCTGTTTAGTCAGACCTGACTGGGCACATCATGGAACGGAAAATATGACAATGAAGATCCAGGACTGTTGAGGAGCTGGAATCCTACATCAGACCAGAGCAGGACAACATTCCTCTCTCAGAAATCAGCATGCAACACAGTGAAATCGCCACCAAATTTAAAGTGAGCTGTTGTTTGTTATCAACAAGTAACATGTCCAACCTAAAACATCTGATATGTTTTATATATTCTCCTGTTCTCTAAGTAAAATCAAGATTTATGAGATTTAAAAATCATTTCATTCTGTTATTTACATTTTACACAGTACCCTACCTTTTTGGAATTGTGGCTTTTTGCTTTAGCTTGTGCTAAATTGGCTGATGCTTAACAGTTCAGGTTGGAACTTTTGTATGTATAAAGCTAAATAGATCTCATTTAACAATTTCAAGTCACCAGGTGGCCAATTACAGTTAGGCCTTCTATTTCTGTAGGACTAATATTTGAGACTGGAGTATAAAAATAAAAACTGAAAATGAACTGAGAAAATAACAAAGGAAAGTGCTGAGAGGAGCAGGTGCAGCAGAGAAGAAGCTGCTGGTGTGTCTGAAGCCACTGGAAGACAGCGCTCCAGAGAGGGTACGCTTTAAACACTGCTCTGCCCTGCTTCTTTATAAGATACACACTCAGAAATGTGCACATCATAGATGAATGTCCTGTGTCCGAGATTCAGAGGGTGCCTGGCAACCAGAGCTGTGAGCTTTTTTGGGGACAGTTTTTAGAGCCTCAGTTATGGGCATCATAATTTCTTTAACAGTGCTTGAGAATAATTTTCCCATATGCTAGGCTATAGAGAGCTGTCAGTGTGGAGAAATATAGAAATCAAGAACACTTCCTCATGTCAGTGGATTTTTTTCTGTCTCTAGGATGTCATTAAGTCAGCAGCATCAGCCTGACACTGTAAGCCAAGCATTAGTACCTGGTGCAAGACTGCTCCAGGCAGCAGAGTCCAGCCTGCTGCGGCAAGCCAACATTGCAGAGTTAGTGTCACACACTTTTCTGCTGTGACAGCTGCCCAAATGACTGAGCATAACAGACAGATGCTGGAGACTTGTGTTGCTTGCAAACTAGCAGATTTCCCCCATATTTTTCTATCAGATTCTAGTTAACAGATTAACATCTGCTTTTGCTCAATTCTATGAAACATTTAGCTGCAAATTAATGCCCTGATGAAGGTAAGCATATGAACTAGAGAACCTTTTCTTCTTTTAAATTAAATTAGGTTAATTCCGTTCCATTCAAATAAGTGAAAAATGTAAGGGAAGACCACGCCGCCTTGTCCTTTAATGTGCATTAAGGTTGACTCGATAAGGGGAAAATCCTGGAAACCATTTTTTGATATGATGGGAAAGATTTTGACCCCATCGTTCAACAACAGAAGAAATAACGACAAAGTCAAATGCTGACAAAGTTTACTTGTTAATTAACAACTAATTTCCCCTATGAAAAGTAACTTTTTTACAAAGTAAGTATTTAGGACTCAATATAAAAGGTGCATTTGTTTTAGAAATTATTTTGATCATCACGAATCGTGAAGATAACACATTTTAAAACCTACTAATAAACAAAGGATACAAGAAACAACACAATACCTGGAATCTCAATGATTTAATTATTGTGGAAGAGCAGTATGGAAAATGCAAAAGAGACACACACACACAAAAAACCCCACAGATCACTCACTCACAGTCTGCATTTCTTTGCATCCTTAGCTCTGCTTTTCAGGCCTGAGGTCTGTCTGATTGCACTGCTGTGCTCTAGATGTTACTATTTATTTACTCAGATTAGTTCTCCAAACTCTGAACCCTCTGCTCAGTTCAGCTACAGTTCCCCGGCTGCCGTGCACAGACAGCAACCTGACGGATTCTCTACATGTCCATAATCTGCTCTGTCATGGCTTAATATCCCATCTCTGACCTGTAGTTATTCTTCTTTTATCTAACTATCATTGCTAGTCTTTATTACGATGTAGTATAGTGTTATGAATGTTAACTACTTCAGCTGTTAGTGAGGGGAGGCACTGTGTCCCTGTGTCTGGAGCCGTGCAGTGTAAAGCTGTGTGTTAGCTGGAGGAGGCAAAGACAGACCTGCTTGTGTTGATATTGATGCTAAACATCCAGAAGAAGAAGAGACGAGAGATGAGGGTGGAGGTGGGTCTCAAAGTAGCTTGCAGATGCATATAGCACATCCAATATGAGAAGCTGTCTTTACTTTTTCAAACCCTTTTGCTTTTTTATGGTGTTGACAAGATGCTGAAGGAAGAAAATGCCATATAAGAGATTAATAGGAAGGTGCAAACTGACAGCTTTGGCACATATTTCTGTTAGATAATTGTGTAAAAAGCTCACTTGTCCAAGCACTGTTGCTCTAAATCATTCAATTCCTAAAATTATTCATAACAAAACAAAACTCAGTCTAAGGCTGTGACATCTTTAAGTTCTGTTTGCAGTTTCATGACCATTATCAAGCAGGTCTTCAGAAGTACAGGACAAGGCATCAGAAGAAAGGCTATCCTAATGCAGGCACTCAGTTTTTGGAGTGCATCATATAGAACAGAGAGCACATTCAGCTCAAAGTATTCTCGCTCGTCTTTGGCCCTTTTTCATGTTTTCTTTGGGAGGGAAAGAGTGAAGGGAAAGAGAGCTGCAGGCATACTGAGAAACACAAAGGAAGAAAGTTCCAATAAAAACGGCACAGATCACAGGAGCCCCATCAGAAATACTTGTTCTCCAACTCGCAGACAAGAGAAAACCATCCGCAAAACACATTCCAGTTTTATTTTAGCAACATGTTTTCTGTATGGGCGAGATCAGAGAAACTCAGTCATTACCGAAGAACAAAGCAGACCGGAGGGGAAGTAAAACAGTGAGAATATTCAACAGTAACAAAAAGCTCACTGACAGACAACCTCTTTGTCTTGAAGCGTGAAGCCAATTTGAAGCTCATACTTACAACATGTGTTTTCTGTTGCCGAAAAGTATTTTTCTGCCGTTGTGCAGATAAGTGTCCTCCTTGTCGGGCTTCTCTTTCTTCCTCTGACTTACTTTACAGGTACAAGTCTGTGCATGTTGAGCTGCGCTACAGGCGTTCCCAGGGTTGACAGAAATGTCACTTTTCACTCGTCAGTTTTTAACTTAAACAGAAGCGAAGCCACAGGACTTTGGCACCAAAAGCCCACATTTTGTTGCTTTCCACAGATGTGTTTCTCAAGCTAGCGTTTATAGACATTTAGAAATGTGAATCATTTAAACTGAGAAAGAAAGATAGACCTCAAGCAAATCATTAGTTCCTAACTCCTCCCTGCTGCTGCATACCTGTTTGGCTAAGATTTTGGCCCTTCGAGACTGCCATGCAACCGATGTGAGAAATCTGTTGATTTAACAATAAAGCGCAAACATTTTCTTTGCTCATACTAAAAAATGGCTAAGATAATCATTAATGCTATTTAGTGAGATGAACATGTCCTCACTATTTGTAGCAGTAGGTGTTACGCTTTTCAGTGACCCAGTAAAATTTGCTTTATGTATTTTCTCATGGAAGCAATTGTGAAACTGTCAGAAGAACACTGGCCAAATTCAGAAATAGGAAACAGGAGGTCTGAGAGTTTGTGAGCCACAATTGGATATAGAAAATTGTACAAATGAGCCAGTATAATAGAAAGGGATCAGCATTAAGGCCTTAGGCAAAGGAGGGACACTAATGACAGCAGTAAATATCATTCCTAGTTGTTTAGGAATGGTTAAAATAAAAAGAAACCCAGAAGGTAATGCTTTAAGTGCATTTGCTGTCTGACAAAATGGCAAATTTCACAATGTGTGAGTATAATTACTGTAGATCTGTGTGACTAGTTGTTGCTATAGCAACATAATATTCAACCAAAAAAAGCAACAAAAACAGCAATCACTGCTAGTGACAGAATATCATACACTTTTCCTTTTTTTGCAGTATTTTGTAATACTTTGAATCCACTTTGTTATTTTATTGGTATCAACTGTGAGTTGTTCTTATAGGAGAGCTGATTTTGCTGATTTGTTGATTAAGGATTTAATTCAGGAGACACTCTCTTGATTGGACCTAAATGTTATAAAAGAAGTAAAATGGTTTTGAAGCCCATCAATGTCAGATGCCGTCTGATTGTAAAGGGGCTGCAGTTGGCACCAGTAACGGCCTTAATTTGGGTCAAGGATCGCCCAGTGTCTTGACGGACAGCCAATTGGACCCTAGAGCTCAGTGCTGGTGAAATATTTTGGGGTCTTCTACTTGACTTTTTTGTTCCATAACCATCAGGATCATTTAAGAAATTCCAAATGACTGTCTTACTGCCTCCCACCTGAGCAGCGATGGTGTGCTGCGAGAGACCCTGCTTATGCAGTTCAACAACCCGACCATGTTCAAAAGGGGAAAGTTTTTTGCCTTTACCATCAGAACGTCATGACAGTGTGACTACCTGACAGAAAATGACAATGAATCCACATTTTTGCACAGATGTGACCTTTTAAAGACACGTCTTAAAGTTTTGATCAGCTGTAAATCAGCCTGTTTCAGTTTAAGAGTTTTCAATAAATTGCATGCTCAAAACAAATGTTTTGTCTCACTCCCATTTCTTCTTGTTGCATGTTGAAGCTCTACTTGGACCCTTTTTAAGATCCAACCATGCAAAATCTGATTTTTTGCCATTTTTCAAGTGGTCTTAAGCTTTTGATCTGGACTGTATAATTGGTGTGTCACTCAAACTACAGGCAACCTGCTAACAAACAAAACAATCACAAAGAGGTTTTCACTGCAGAGCTCCGGACCTCGTGCACTGTGGTGCTACATGCCAACTGCTCAAGTAATACACATTCTTATGACTGGTGGTTACTGGGAGGGTGACTGACCAGTCTTTAGGCCTGCATGACTGGGACTTTACCAGTTGATTTCACCGGCTAACAAGTAGATTTGCTGCCTAATATTCACTCAACAGGAATGAAAGCCAGTCCTAGATGAAACTTAAACCAGTGTTCTGGTTGAAAGTTGGGCAGTTTTTTACTTTCACCATGGAAACACTCCTAAGTAAGAATGTGTACATGAGTTGTTTGAGTTATCCTCCTTTATGTTTCATCCTGAACAACTAATTGGGCAGCCCAGTGTTTGTATATTTGCAAATCCTCCGCAACGTTCCTGTGTTGCGACTGTCTAATCAGCATGCCTTTGTTTGTGAGTGGCCTCCTACACTTTTAATTATTCACTATATTATCCCCATCATCCATTCTCCTGACCTTCAAACCTAACTTACTTTCTGGCTGACAAAACTTTACTGAATGTTTGCACTGAGCGGGAAAGTACAAATTTATTTCTTAGATGGCTGTGAGTTAGTTAAATGTCACTCTGCCTTTACTGACTCAACCTCGTTTTATGATTTAGGCAGCTAACTATGCTGTAGGTGTGTTCTTACAGGCTTGTCACCTCATAACTATCGCGGTCTCTTTCCCTTGCATGAAGCAGGCATCTGTATAGGGAATAGGAAGCTCGTTGACCCAGTTCACTCTGAAACATCAAACTCCTTGGAGAAAACCATTGGCAGAAAGAGGCAGATGCTGAAGTATCAGGCAGAGGTTGGGGTGTAATGTCCTCATCTAACACGGAGAGAGAAAGACATGGAGAGGGATGGGGCAATGAAAATGACTGATGGCAGCACAAATGGCAGAGCTGTGATCAGTAGGAAAGAAGTGGAGAGGAAAAGAAGGGAAACGGGGGACAGCGCTGACAGCTGAGCGGGCCTACCTGTCCGCCCATCTCTCGTTTTCTGTCTTGATTTGCAAGTCCTCGATGGGACGCTTGCCGGGGCCAACCCGGAGAACAAGAACAGATGTCATAAAACACCGCTGCGACTGGGATTTGCATCTGTAATGACCTCACTGGAGATGCTGCGAGTATGACGTTCCCACCGCAAACCTGTCACATACGCACTCTGAGCAGTTTTCATCCCTGTATCTGCCAACCTATCACTATCACCGTGATGGAAAACTGCTTTTTCTTTTTGCCTTTCCCACCATTATACATATCGCTTGCCTTTTCCTCATGGCCCACAGTCTTTGTCTTAAGTTTACTTGTAAAATCTTATGCAACATCATTTTTGAAATATAATTTTATACATATAAACTTGGTCAACACACTCTGCAGGTATAAGTGAAAAAGATTGCCAAGCAGGTTTACAAATCCGGTCTATACCGGACTGATAATGTTTACGCTTTAAGGTTGCTGAGCAAGTTCAGTGTGTGGAGATCAAAGGTTCAGATAAAGAGCAACAGAGTGATTTTCCAAGCCTGGCTGACAATGAGATGAGATGGAGTGGTTATATTTAAGAGTGACCCAGATGCAGCTGTATCTCCAGCTCCACTTTGTAAATCTACAATAAGCATATTACCTCAGACACTTCTGAGGAGGCAGAGTGGATTTCAGACATTAACACAGGTCACTGTGGCTGTTTTTCTATATTATTTTCATAGTATGGCATGATGACACCAGGTGTTATGTGTTATTGCCTGGTTTATGATTGGCTTATAAACTACGCCTGTTTCACATGGACGGTTCTTGTAAAGTTGATGTTTATACTTATATGCCATACTCTAGACTTATATTTGAGCTATAAATATTTTTACTATAAAGTTAAAATGGACAGTTATATAGTACTGGTTTTAAAGAACATATAGAGAGCCCAATTGGCAATGGTATAATTCATTAACCGTAAACACTGAGACTAGCTTGTGTTCAGATTTACTCCTCTTTTAGTTTCACTCTTATTTATATGTTATACATTGCTTGGTAAGACTCGGGTTCTAAAAGTAATAATTTATATTAAAAATGAGTTAGTCTCACAACCGCCACATCAAGTGCAAGTTACATGTATTCATTCTGTCCGATTATAATTGCGAATGCCTTTTACATTTCAAAAAATCATTTATTTATCACTTAAATTGTAGAAAAAGTGATTCGTAAATATAAACATTTAATCATATGTTGACAATAGGATGATTTTATAATAAATTAAATTAGCTAAAAATTTGATCGTTGTTATAAAGTGTTATGTTCATGTTGGTACATTCTAGATTTTCATGCAGTACTACCACTACTGCAACTGTAGCTTGCCTCC